TGGGATTCAGGCTTTGGAAGGAGCAGCCAGGCAGGGCAGAAGCAGCTGGCAATGTGGGAAGGAGCTGCAGTGCAGCCAGGTCGGGGTGGGAGGTGGAGGGGCTTGGCATGGTCTGGGCACTGGGGCACTGAAGAGCCCTTCCAAAATTCAGTGCAGGGCCAGGATGTCTGTGCTGCACCACACCAACCATGGTGGTGGTTTCTGGGACCCCACCCACAGCAGCAAACGCTCTGAGCTGAAGTTGCAGGACAGGCCCTTACAAGAAGGGTGTTTTCCCCGCTTTGTACATGCACCAGGGCATAGTAAATGCTAATAATTTACAACTGTCTGAACAAACCAATTACAAACCTGTTACTTTCAGTTATTTGCTGAGTAATGACTATGCTGAGCTCTTTCTAAAGCACAGACAAAATCACAGTCCTCAGCCCTGTGTGCTCTGAATGGGTAGGGAGTGATGCTTTGTCCACCACCTCTTCAGTCAAGCTGCATCATCCCCACTGATGCTCCAGCAGCCCTGCAGGTCTGCCACCAGCAGCCCAGAGTCCTTTGAAACCTGCAACAGAATTAAACTTAAAAAAAAAAAAAAGAAAAAAGAGGTATCAAACACTTCCATCCTGGTTTCTTTTGTGGCCATGTTTCAGAACCAGCGAGTGGAGTGTGCCTGTTTGCATGGTGGTGTCCTGGAGATTTAAATGGGATAGTTCAAAGAGCACACATTGGGTAAGTAGCTTAGGCTTTAGTTTTATTCACATTGGAGTAAGCCATTGCCAGACATTTTCAGGGAGCTAACAGGAGAAAAACAATGGCTGTATTTGGCAGAGTCCAGTGGATGAAAAGCACCAAAGGTATAAAGTCCAAAACTGCTGAAAATAGTGGAAAAATAATGGATTGGTTCTTCTCTCCTGACTCAATACCTTTATTCTTTGACATTTATTTTTTTACTGCCTTTGCTCCTGTAATGCATCGTGGTGACTCATGTGGAAGGTCTGTAATAATGTTTCATTGCTGTTGAAGTCACCAGATAACCACTAATCATCCTCTGGTCCTGCAGGGTTGTGAATGTTTAGAGTATGGCCAGGAATGGGCTGATAGAATGGGGTAAAATGAGAGAGAAAGAGCATTACAAAGCAGGTCCTGAGGAGTCGCACAGAGAGAAGACAGTGGTTTATATATCTGCTGGAAATAAGAAAGGGCAGGGGATAGTCTGGTGATGCCCAGAGCTGTTTCATGGGGTAGCTGGTGCCCCAGCAGTGCACTCCTGCCCTTCTGTTCATATAACTGCACCTGCTCACAGACACAATGTTTGGGTCAACCTTTGCAGGAGCTTTGCAACTCTCTCGGCCCCAGACCATTTCTGGCACTTTTTGCTCTTCCAAAGAGCAAGGCTCGTTCCATGTGGTCCTGCAGAAGTGCAGGGCTGAGGCTCTGGAGAAGGGACCTGTTCCAGCCTTGGTTTTGGTGCTGGACGAGGGAGGTGCCACCTCCCTTCAAGTCTTTGTGCCTGGTGAGTTTTCCAGCTCATTCAGTGCTTGGGGATGTTGCTCTGTGGGGCAGAGAGCCTGTTCCCAGGGATTTCACTTGGTTTCCTCTCTTAGAATATGGCCCTCAGATGTCCCTGCTAAGTAGAGACATCATGGCTTGGCCTAATAATAAACCTATTGACTTAAGGCATTTGGGACATAAATACAATAATTTGTATTTTACTGAGCATAGTGTTGGCCAAGTCCCTTCTAGCCAGAGGCCATCTCTTCTGAAGCAACTAGAGCCCCAAATACAGCAAAATGGAGAATTTATAACAAAAAAAAGAAGTGCTGGCTTGACGATGTTGCACAGTCCCATCCCATTCTGCATCCAGTTCTCAGCTATTCTCTGCCTCCAGTCCAATAGTAAAGGCATATTTATTTCCTTGGCTCTGCTGTGTTAATGAAAAAGCCACTTAACAAAACAAATAGAAGGAAGGACATTTGCAACCAATTATGGTATTGCTGATCAGTCACATTGTGCTGGAAATGACCCACTGAAGTTCAGCCCAGGCTGATCAATGACCTGGCAGCTTGGCACTGGTGCACACCATCAACTTAATAAATCAGTGTAGTTTCACTCCCTGTGCCAGAATATATATGTGCAGTCAATGTGACATCAATATTATATAATGATGGTTAAAACTAATTGCCCAGACACCCCGCTCTCCCGCCTGCTGTGCAGCCCCACTGGTGCTCCAGCAGGCTGGCTGGGAATTTGGCTACCTAGGCCTTAAATAAACCCCAGGGCATCATTTAAAATCATGTCTTTAAAGGCTTTTTTTCTCTTTTTTTTTCCAACCACAAGGGAAGTCGGCACTCCAGGATATCATTCAGGGCTGACCAAGTTGCCAGCCAGCTCTCTGCTCCCGGGAGGACGTGGTGTGACGGCGGGCCCTGGCGCGGGCGGCAGGAACCGGAGGGATGGGGTTTCTCCTCGGTGGCAGATGCACATCTTGGCTGGTTTATTCTTGGCTTCCTCTTCCTAATTAGCTCTGACATTTCAGCTGTCGTAATATGGGCTTGGTTTGGAAAGTTAAGGCTGAACACACTGAGTTTTGCTGCAAAGAAGTTTGGTTGAAGTACAGGGGAACCGGGATGCTTCCAGCTGTCTGGAAGTTTGGTGATGGGCTGGACCATGGAAATGCAGGAGCTGCTGGGCAATGCTGGTGGTCACTTGCTCCCACAGCTGATAGCACCACTTTCAGTGCTCTCTGCTCTTGCATTTCACTCTACAAAGAGTCATAGAAACCATGCAGTCTGTATTGATTAAAAAAAAAAAAAAAGGCAATTTATATAACTATTTAGAAACAGCTTTTTTAAGGATATTGAAGACATCCTAACAGGATTTTTGTAAGTGCCTCAGCCTCTCCAGCCAAGTGACACACTCAGCTCCCAACATCTAATATTTTAGACCAGATATTTTACCTGGAACCAAAGCAACATCCACTCTGGCACATACTCCAAGCCTCTTGCTTGGCCATGGCCTCAGCCTTTCTGGGAACATGCCTGGCCCTTTTCCACCTGCTGTTTGTCCCAGATCATGCCAACAGGGGAAGGGACATTTGGGCACTACAGCCCCACCCTGACACAGTCACTTTGGTTGTGTCCTCACACCTCAGCTGCACTTTTCAGATGCATCACGTGCTCCACCCATAGGGAATACTTGCAAGAGATTTCTGTATCATTCCTCAGGGCTTAATTCTCATTAATTCAACCGTATTACTATATAAAGAATATTTTAACTGTAACATTAATTAATCATCAAAGAATCACGATAGAATGCTTTGGGTTGAAAGGGACCTTAAAGTTCATCCGTGGTCTGCAGGTACTTATAACCTTGGGGATACAGCACATGCACACACACAAATATATATATATATATAAAATATGTATATATGAGAATGATCTTTCTTTGGTGGTGATTTGGTTTGGCTAAAAAGGAAGGGAAGAAAATCCTGGCTCATCTGTTGCCCAGCCACAGTCCCAGCCGGGTCTGGCTGTTTTTCTGGCAGAAGTGAGTTGTGAGGATGGTTTTGGAGGAGGAGAAAGGAGTGGCAGTTCAGATTTTATCGGGGAGGTTTTCCCAGACTCGGAAGAAAACTGGGCAGAATGTGAGTCTGTGCTTTGGGAAGGAGCTGACAGATGGGTTATAGAGGCTGGTGGGGCAAAGGTTACGGGCTGGCCGTATGGTAGGTGGGTTGTTGGTTCAGCCAGGTAAGAGGAGATGTGCAAAGGTAACAGGAATAAAGAGGAGAAGGCAAGAAGCTTGTAAATTATGTAAAAGGACTGGCATGGTGGTGGAGTGAATTGTGTGTCTTGAGGGTAGCTGCTAAAACTGAAGATGGCAACAGCTGATATAAGAAGAGGGAGGCTGGGAGGAGAATATTTAAAATGTAATGTTTTAGAGGTGATGAAAAGAGAAACTTTGAGACATGATTCCAAAGAAATCCAGCCTGGTGTATCACCTGGGTGAGAAGGAAAGGGGGAATAGAGGGAGGATGGCAGGAAACCACCTATTCCCAGCTTCCTGGGAGGGGTGGAAAGCAGCTCCACACAAACTTGGGTTTTTTTGCTGCTTCCGGAAGTTCATAGCAGAAAAATACTCTGAGAAAATTCTAACTTGTGGTGGCTTATCCCTTCTAACCCTGGCCATCACTCAAATAAAAAATGGCAGTGGTCTGTGGAAAAAAGAAAAATAATTGAAAAATAGATTCTTATGTCTTTCCAAACCACCAGAACAGTTTACCCATTCCTGGGAAAAGATGCAATCAAGCAACATTTCCCTCAATGTCTGAATGCAGGAGAAGGCTTAGATGAGGCTTTCAACGAAGATAATTTTATATTTGTCCTGTCAAATGCAGAAATAATCAGGTTTTTTTTCTCTTACCCTAAATATTTACATCTAGGTTTGTTTTCCCTCCTTAGTTTGCTTGGCTGGGGAAGAAAAATATTGATTTCTTTTTGTTTGTTTGTTCATGTTGGATTAAAAAACCCAGGATGTAGCTGGATATGGATTGGGGCATTTATCAGTTACACCTGGAAGGCACCAAATCCCAGTATGGTATGATGGGAAGAAGGTACGAAATCCTGGATCCAGCAGCATCAGTGGCAATACTTCCCTTAGTTTTCATGACCTCTATTAGATAGAAATAATAGAATAATTCATCCTTTCAAGGGCAAACAATGATTTCTCCAAATTAAGTGACTCAGTAGTGATCCTCTTCAAACTGGAAGCCACCTTGCTCTGTTTGAGTTCTCAAGCACCCCAGCAGCAAGTGTGGTTCTACCTGGAGAAACCTTCAGCACAGCTCTGGCTGGGAATTCTGGCTCAGGAATTTCCAAGGGGAGATGCCAAACTGCAGCTGGGGTGGGCTGGGGAGGAGCAGCCCTGCTCGTGCCACTGTGCTGGGGAGGATTGGGATGGTGCCTGGGATGGTGCCTGAGCTTGTGGGGCCTGGCTGAGGGCAGGGGGAGCAGCTCTGTGTGCTTGAGGCATCTCCTCCCGAGGGGGCTGTGCAGGCAGGAGCTCCCCTGGGGTCTGCAGAGGTGTTGGTGTCCCTGCAGCCCTGACTGTGCCAGCCAGCGTTTCCTCTCAACAGGTGGCTGCAGGGCAGTGATGATGGAGTGATGCAGCTCAGGCTCTGGTACCCAGCAAGGCGCAGCTCCTGCTGCTCTAACGTGGCGAGTGGACCTGCAGATCTGCAGGACTGCTGAAAACACAGCCCTGAGGGAGCCCTGGGGCTGTCCTTGGCCTCGGGTGGCACACACAGATGGGCACCTCCAGCAGCTCCAGCTCCTCGCTCTGCCATCCCAGCGCCTCTGCATGAGGAGCAACCCGTGAGTAACAGCTGCCTCTGCAGACAGCAAATCCTGCAAGTGTTCTGTGGTAAACCTGCTGCTGCTGCTGTGGGCAGGGAGGATGCACTTTACTCTGAGAGCAGGGGATGAAAAGCCTCTGTGGCAACGGCTGCGCTTTGAGAGCGGCTGAGCCCAATCCTCTGCACAGGCAACTGTTTATTATCAGAATAACTGATCTCCCAGAGCACTTAATGCCCTGCCTGCACGGAAGGAGCCAGCTCACGCTGCAGCATCACAGCCTTTTGCTGAGCATCTGGGTCTTACTCCAGCAGCAGTGCTGTTAATTGCAATACAAGTGCGTTTCAGGGATTTACCTGTTTCAGTTGCTTGTTCAGGGTGGTACACAGTGAGAATAACCTGAAATGGCTGTATTTGCCCAATTGCTAAGCTACAGGTGTGCAGTGGCAGATCTGTGCCTGTCAGCAGAGAACCCAGTCCAGGAATAAGTAGATTTGCACCTTGCCTATCTGTTTGTAGATAAGAGCGTCACCTCAGAGCCAGGCAGTGGATATTGCTGATAGACTGAGCCTGGGTGCTGGCTCGCTCCTGACTTTGACCTTGGCCATTTATATCACTGGAGCAAAATTTTGCGTGCTTCTGTTTGCTCACATGGAGATAAGGGCGCTGGTCTCTGGATTAAAAGTGTCATTAAGGAGGCACATTATGATTATAATTATTATTTTACAAGCTGAGCAGCGTGCAGAAGCTGGCAGTGCTGCTGCTGAGCTTCCTCAAGGAGCGTGTGCCTTTGCAAAAGGGTAGAGGGAAGCGTACGGGAGGATTTTCTCATACATAAGCTGAGGAAACGGATTATCTGTGAAACAGCCAACAGTTTTTATTTACTGTGAAAATCTGAGTCTCACTCTCAATTTCCCATCAAGATAAAATGCAGGCATTTGGTTAAAATGGCAACTTAATGCTCCAGAGGTTTAATTACCAGCACTCTATAATCAGAATCAACACAGAGTGCAGGCTGTAGCTCCCAACTCCAGCAAGAAATGCAGCTCCCCACAAAGCAGTCAATAAAAAGAAGATATATAGCATGTGCTTGGATTTTGTGGTCCTTCCCACAGCTGAACTTGCAAATCTGCTATTGCTAATGGTTTTCTTTCAAAGTTTAGGTTCTCCCTTAGCTTTTAGCAAACTCCAGAACTCCTTATTTCTACATTTCAACTTTCTCTGTGTAATACCTCTATATATAGTACTGAATTAAGGGAGTTCCCAGTGCTGGGAGCTAAATCTCCCATTTTTTTTCCTGTATCAACAGAAAGCACTGAACTAGTCTCAGTAGTGGTGGTTATTGGAACTTTGCAAGGGCCTTGGTTGGAAAGTGCCAAGAAGGCAGGGATGTTTGCTGGGCTGTGGCTGGTGTGATCTCTGGCATGGACCTCCATAGATCAGATGATTGATCCTCCTCCACTGCAGTTCCTGGTGCTTTTCTTTAAGACTTCAGGACTTGTTAGATCACAGGACCAGCTTGGGTCTTGCTTGGTACAGTCTTCCCTCTTCAGGTTCAGATTTCTTTTTTCCAGTGCATCTTCTGAATGGGGCTGTTACGCTGTCCCAGCAGGTGATCCCTGTGACAATTGCACATGCTCTGTTATTTTACCCGTTCTTTTGCAAGTTGGGTTTTTAGGGAGCAAAGCCTTCAGCTGCCCTGCAGCTACACTCCTGTCAGGCACTAAGCAAAGCACTGTTAGCAGCGCAGTCCTCTGCCTTCTGCCAGGGGTTGAGCCCTGCCTTTACATCCCAGGATGCTCCCAGATGCTGCAGTAGCAACCACAGAAGTTGCTCTCAAAAAAAACCCCAAGACCCAACTAACTTTGCTATGGTTTCTGCTCTTTCTAAGAAAGGGTTAATTTTCCTCCTCTCAGCCCCCCATAAAAAGCAGAACATTTTGTATCCTGCCCCTACTGACTTGTGGAAATAAGAGATACCCTATTAGCAGTCCTTGTCCAAACACAGTGTTGGCCTGGTTAGTGCCAGCACTTTCCATCCAGCACTAGTATTTGTTTTTCCATGCTCTTAATCTTAGAAATTGAATCGAGCCTGATAAAAGTGACTTCCTGAATATTGCATAACAGTTTACGTCTGTCAGGAGGGAAGACAAACAGACCTGACCTTGAACTTGGAAAGTTTCCTCCCAGCAGGTAAGAGCTTCCAAAAGTCTGTGCTGGGGCTCCTGGTCTCCTTTCTGTCCAGGGACAGCAGAGAGGCTTCCCTGTCAGCCATCCTCTGCAAAAAAAAAAGAAAAAAAAGCTTTGGAAAATGCTTTGGATCCTCCTCTGGGGACCTGAGAATCCCCCGGAAAGAGCTGCAGCAGGAAGGCAGCTCCATGTTCTTGCTCCGAGAAGAAGGCAGAGCAGAAATCCTGTCCATATCTGGCAGGGTTTAGCCTCCAGGGATTAATTAAAGGCTTTTTCAGTTTTTCTTTCAAACCTCACAACATTCATCCCCGCCTCACTGAATAGGGAAAAGGGAGAGGCATTTTCTCTGGTGAAGCACCAGCCTGTTTCAATTTTCAGTTTTACATTGCAGTAATACGCTTTTCCTAAGGGAACACCACAGGAAGGGCAAACTTTGGCTTCTCACCATTGGAGCATTACATCATTAACATGAGCTGGAAATCTGAGCAGCGGGCAAAACAAATTCCCTACACTTAATTCCCTCTTTCCTTGGTGCTTCTGTCCCTCTTCCTTGCCCATGGGTAAAGCAGGTGGAGGTGTTGGCAGAGCCAGGGGTTGGGCACCAGTGGATTAGGAGTGGGTGGTGATGCTCCAGCAGCAGGGAGGTGTCCTGCATCCTCTGAGCTGCTGGTAGTGCTGGCACTGGAGACCAACAGAGCTCTGGGGCAGCAAAACCCTTTCTTCTGTGGCTCAGGCTTGTGGTGATGGCTGCCAGGGTGGGGAAGGAGAAATGTGAAACATGTGGGGTCTTTTGCACAGGTTTCCCAGTACCAGAAAACTGGAGTTTGGAGGCTCTGGTTTTTGGGCAGCATCCTGAAGCAGCAGCACAGCTCCCAGCTCATCCCACTCTGAGTGTATGTGTGGTGCCCTGCAGCCCCTCTGGCGGTGCCCTGGCTGCAGTGCTTGTTTTCTGACCCCATTACCTATTCCAGTTTGGATTTCAGCTGCTTAGGCTTGATTATTTTAAACCCCCTCTATCTGATTATCAGCAACCCAGCCAGGCCAGATATGAAGCTTCCTGGGGGATCCCCAGCAGTGTTTCAGAAGGATAAACTGCCTCTCATTCATGCTTTTGGGAGTTTGGTCAGCCAAGAGAGGGGGGGAGTTACTGGGATATTCCAAAGAGGGAGGGAGAAAGCTCCCCCTGTATTTCCTGTGCTACAGCCTCACAAATGTCAAACTTTGCCGTGGGATGGAGTCCCTCGCTGCCCTGGCAGTGTGGGGAAATGTGTCCTGGCAAGCACCCCGGGAGGTGTCAGTGATGGGCACACACTAACCAGCACTGGCAGGGAAGGATGCTTCTGGAAGCAGAGCAGCACAGGGACCCGCTGGCATGGCCGGGTGCAGCAGATTGGTACCCAAACCAGACAGCCCTGGGCAACCTCCCCAGAGCTGCCTTGCTCTTGCTTTTCGGTTTTCTATTGTTATCCTAAAGCTGTCTTCCTCCTCCTCCTCCCCCCAGCAGGATGAGGAAGCCTCCAGCTGGCCTAGGAGGCTTATCAGCTCTGTCTGGCTGGGTGTTAACAGTTTATTTGCATAAGTACCTGTCCCCGTCATATGCCGCTTGCCTTTGTGACTCACTGGAGTTGTTTGTTTTTCCTGCGGCAGCCAGGCTTGCGGCTGCTGCTCCCCGAGGGATGCCAGGGCAGATGCCACCACCCCCGGGCACCGCGGGATGCCTGGCACGCTCGGGACAGGGCGCTCACCCTCCCTGGCTCACCCGCTCCTCCTGCCCTGCGGGACCAGCTCGGAAATTAAATGTGTAACTGGCCGGGTCCTCTTTTCTCCTGGCTGTCAAGATAAAATTAAACTGACCCCCCCTCGGCTGTCCCTGCCTGGGGAGAGCAAGGCTTCCCCTGGCACCACAGTGCCAGCTCCTGCTGCAGGGAAGATGCATCTGGGTGGAGGGCTGTGTGATGGGGATGTGTCTCCTCACTGCTGTTAGCACTCACAGAATGTCCTGAGTTGGAAGGACCCACGTGGATCATTGAGTCTGACTCCTGGCCCTGCCCAGGACAACCCCAGATGGTGCTGCCCAAACGTTTCCTCAGCTCTCTTCAGGCTTGGTGCCACGACTGTTTCTCTGGAGAGCCTCTTCCAGTACCTGACCATGCTCTGGGTGAAGAACCTTCATTTTAAGGAGCTGAGACCCTTAAAACCTTTTCTTTTCTGAGCTCAGGTCTCTGCCCCAAAGGCAGTGTGATCTGCCAGACCAACCCCCCTGGCTGTGCTGGAGCACCCACAGTGCAGCTCTGCCCCAAGTGCTGGTGGTGACCGCAGAGTCACCTCCTCAGGTAGGAGCCAAGTGATCTTGTTTCTGCTCATTTGCTCTGAAGGGTTTTTCCATCCATTCATAGGAAGAGAGTCATTAATGTTAAACTTCTGCTGCCAGGTACGATTGATTTGAAGATTATAACCATTCTAAAGGGGGTATGTGTTGCATATACAATGTGTTGAAGTCCTGGCATGCAGGAATTGTTGCTCCAATGGTTGCCTGATCCGTGGAGCTCAAGAGAGAAGGGCTCAGACAACCGTGGGGCTGCTCAGCAGCCTGGCAGGCAGAGCCAGTGAAGAGTGGCCAGTTTCAAAGGGCAAAGGTAAATTCAAATCAGCAGCTGGTACATCCTCTGCACAAGGGCTGTAATCCTGTCCCAGGAGATGACAGACTCATGGTGTAATAAGTCTCCACGCTGTTGTTGCTGTGATATTTTCCTTACATGGTGCACGTCCACGAGGTGCTCGCAGGAGGGCAATGCTCAGTGTGGGATCCTCCCTGCAAGGAGCTACCAGGACTGAAGGATTTCCTTCTAAATGTGACCCAGAAACCTAGGAGTTGTCCTTCCCCTCCATGGCTGACGGGCCAGTGAATCAGGTCTGCACCCAGCCAGCCACTTCTGGTATGTGAAAGTTATTTTAGACACGTTTCTGGTGTTCATCATATCGTTCATCACATAAAGTGCTTTTGCAGTGTACCAGTTGAGCTGTGCCAGTTGTGTTTTGCTCCTCTGACTGGGAAATTGGATGGATGGATGGATGGATGGGGAAGGCTGGTGAGAAGAGCAAGGGATTCAGCTCAGCACACTCAGCCTCAGCTCTGACTGTGATGTTACAGGGCAGGTGGAAGTGTGAGAGCAGTGAGTGTGGAAAGGCAGATAACCAGCAATTTGCTGTGAGTGTGATCATTGAAGGGGATCAGTGCACTTGGTTTGTCCAAAGAAAAATGCAGAGAGAGAAAACAGAGGGAGAAGGAAGCAAAAAATACATCACGTGAACCATCCAAGAAGTGGCTAAAGGAGCAGAACCAGAGAAGGATACATTCATGAAGCCAGGAGAGGGCTGCAGGAATCTCATTATAAATATCATATTAAGTTGTATATCTCAAGAAATCCTTGACTTTTCATCTTTATCTCTTTTCCTCAAGTGCATTAAGAGCTGACTTGTCCTTCTGGCTACTCTCAGGTCTTTCTGAGCTGCTGCTGCCCATCCCATGTGCCTCCCTCTCTTCTGGCTGCACCCAGGCTGAGTTTGCTGCAAGGGAACACTGCTCAGGCGATGGAGTATCCATGTCAGCCCCCCTACGGCTAAAACCAACCTTGTAAGCAAACCCTCATAATTTTATTTATGACTTTTGGATGAGATAATGGTTTTCCACTTTGAAAAGAAAGCTCGCTACTTCAACATTTATTTTCTATAAATGCCTTGGCATTTATATTGCAACAGGAGACTGTTCAGTGACATTATCTGATAAATATCGTGTTATACAGCTGCAATTTACAATGCATATATTTTTAACGGTACTTCTAAGCTAAATTAAATGCTTCTAAAATATGGTACTTATGGAAAACAAATGTCTTTTCTAGCAATTTTGTTTTTCAGGGTACACTATTTTTTTAAAACCAGATACCATCTTTATCCTGTCAGGCAGTAAATTATGCACTTGCACTTTCATAAACTCTCCCCTTGGGAACTTAGTCAATGAAATGGAAATGTCTTTTTCACACCCTCCAACTCCAGAGAAATACAGGGAAATAGCCAACTCGGTTATAAACTGAATCCACACAAAATGTGGATTAATGCAGTCCTGATGCATGTATTGTTTAGCATATGTACCATTCACTCAAATGGAGCTTTGAGCTGTGACTGGGATCATTAATGTCTCTTTTTTTTTTTTTTGTAATTTGGGGAGTAATTGCATGTTCTGTGGTGGGATCTGCAGTAGGAAGATACAGTCTGGTGCCAGGGGGTAACCTCCCTCCCGAGCCAGGACTCCCGTGGGAGGAGGAAAGCTCTGTTGGCCTGCTCAGGGGAGTAAAACACAACAGCTTTTACACCTTGGTGGATCTTTCCTGGGTTGTGGAGTGGGAATGGGCAGGACAAGGTTTAGAATGGCCTGTCCTGCCTTTGGTATAGCCTTTCAGGAGGGAGAGCAGGGGCACTGAGGCAGCTGGACCAGACGCTCCCTGTAGGTCCCTTCCAACTGAGCTCTTATTCTAAACCTACTTCTCTTTTCATCGTCCATCACCCACAACTACCGAGTTTGCCTGTAGCAGTCAAATATCTTCATACAAAACCCCACGTGGTCTGAGGAGCTGTGCTATTCCCTCCCTGCACTGAAGGTGGAAAGTGTGAAATGCCAGCAAAAAGGAAGCAAAGGAATGAAAGCAGGGAAGGGTGGGAGGGTGTTGCAGGGGAGGCTGCTGTGATGGCCAAGGATCCCTCCAAAGCAGGAGGAGCTACAGCAGGTCTGCTGTCACAGGAGGGGCACTGGAGCTGCTCACCTCACTACTGATGGTCCTTATTTTCCCAAATATAACTCACAGGCCCTTTGAAAGCCCCAGTTCTTCCAGTCTGGCGACTGCATGAAATGTGGGATGTATTATATGCACTTGGCAATAGAGGAAAACTTGGAGAAAACAGGAAAAGCAACAACAACAACAACAACAAAAAAGGAATCTTGAAATTTGGCAGAAAAAATGCAGTGCACAAACCCCACAGGAATGTGAGCATCTTTGCACAAAGCCACTTATGGATGCATTCCTTAAAGGTAATCCCTTCAGACAGAGTGAAGCTGCCATTTCTTTGAAAGATATTAAAGCAGCTGTTGCTAGAACATAGAGAATTTCTGAGCTCTCTGTCAAGGGATGGACATTTGTAATGCTATATCTACTTTATTTACAGTTTGATAGCAAATTCCCAGCTACTGAAGGTAATTGAGACTGCAAACAAAATCTCACTATCCACTGATCTGCCAAATCAAATTTTTTCTCCTGTAAGTATAGTGTTTTTCCTTAGCTTCAGAGAGGAAAAGAATTATGCAGAATGAATGAGAAAGAGAAGGGATTAGTTTATATAATGACCACAGCAACCATCTCTCCCTTGATCTGTCTGTCATAGTTTATTCTCAAAGATGGGAATGATTATTATTGTAATTTAGAACAGAGCTTGTTCTCTCTCCTTCTGCTGCCTCTGCTTACTACTCTCCAAATTAACACATATTTTAATAAAAACTAAACATCCTAACTCTAGCTGGGGTATGGGATGACCCCAGCTGGGATATGGGCACAGCAAGATTTTCATCTTCTCTGTGTTCCCCTCCTGGAATGTCTGGGCACTGCTCTGGTCTCTGATAGGAATTAAAGCAGCCATGAGGCTATTCTAATGACTTCTGGCTACCAGAGGCCTCAAAGAGGGTATCTAAGGCAGTAAATCAGCAGCTATGTGTCTCCTCTGCCATTTTCAAGTTGTGTGGTGCTTTTGAGGATCTCCAGGAGCATCTCCCTGCTCTGTGGTGGTCCCCCAGCATCAGAGAAGGAACAGGCTGAGGGAGCTGAGCATCCCTCATGGTCTCTCACTAGCTAATGTCAGAAAATACATTGTTTCTAAAGCTCTTCAAAATTACACCGGATTTTTTTGCTGTATTTGGGGACTACTCGCACTCCCACGGACCTGTCCCACCCGTGTGTCTGGTGCTCGTGTACTGCAGTAATCAACTTTGATGCCAACAAGGCAACTGGGTTTTCCTCCTTCTCTCCCCTGTCTGCACCGAGATTTTCACCAGTCTCAACTCTGACTGAGAAATTTTATTAAACCGAAGCGTTGAGAGACGAACTAATTTATGCACTTCTTCTCCTGAAGTTGCTTTAACACTTACTTTTGTAGTTGTAACTCTAGGGTGAGTAAAGTCACCCCTAAAACCAAGGTATTCATGCCTCATCACCCCAGCAAAGCGCTCCCCCAGGGTGTGAGGCAAGAGCTCTGCAGCATTTTGGGGACTCATGGTTAGTGATGGGATTTAACTCTGCAGAACTCATACAAAACTTAGAAAAGACTCTGCCCTTCACTTCAAAACATCTGTTAATTCTACTTGTGTGCTCATCATCGAAAGGCTGCCTATATTTTTCCTTTCGGGTTTGCAAAAAGAAGCACCGGTGAATGAAGATGAAAGGGAAATGTTGCTGGTTTCTTCCCTGGAGATCGTATTTCTTACTTGTTGCATAACTGCTTATTTTAGCATCAATCAGCCGAGCCTTTGTTGTGCAGACAATTCTGTCCTTTTAGAGGATTTGTGCAGTATTGTTTCTTCCAAAATGCTTTTTTTTTTGGTTTTGTTATTAGATTTATTTCTTCTCTTGGCAAATGCCAACTGACAACACCCTGTCAGAGCTCTTCATAAGTGCTACATAAATGTCATACCATGTAAACTGAGTGTTGTATACATCATATACATGACCTTTCTGCAGAACCATCCATCAGGTACTATCTGAGTGTGTGTGTCACATTTATGTATTTGCACACAAGTTGTGTTTAAGTGTGCATGTGTGGTAGCCAAAGTTCTATTATGGAAAGTGCTCAAAAGGCAGAAGTGTCTGAACTCTTCTTGCCGGTGCAACTTCATCTGCCCCCTTTGGCTGAAGCAGAACAAGACTTCAATTTCATGTTCAGATACTCTTTTCCTTCTGCATCGCTCTGTGTGCAGTGAGATGGTCAGCAAGGGGCTCAGTGATGCCTATTGTTCAGCACATGAGCCTGGGCAGAGTACATTATTCAGCACATTATTCACATGTCTGACCACTTTTGGATTTCACAGCAGTAGAAAACACAGCTCAAATACTTCCCTCTGCAGTTTTCAGAGCAGAGCAAGGTGCTGATGTTCTGGATGGCAGAAAATGCATTGGGGTTTTATCTAGGCACGCTATGGACCTGCCCTGCCTTGCTGTGACCTTCCTCAGAGGTGTTGCCCAGAAATCATGGAGAAATGGCCTCAAAGGGTGGCAAGGCTGTAGTGTGCAGTACAGGACCAGAGCAGGGGGACCTGCAGGTTCCTCAAAAGACACAGTAATTATTGTCCTCATGGTTCTTTCTATAGCACTTTCCACTACACTGCCTCAGTGCTTCAGCACCTTCATCAATCCTCCCCAAACGCCCCTTTTGAAGATGGGTCAGGGTGACACATGGATGGATTAAGGTCAGTTCTGACTAATTCAGGGTACTCCATCTGAAAAGCATAATGCCTGCTTTTTTTCAGAGCATTTAACATGATACAGCACTTCATACATGCAAGCACAGCACCCACTGCTTCCAGCTGCACGAAGATGGATGTCAGCAATTCAGGCTAAAGGTTTCCAGCCAGTGTGGGCACTACAGCCATCAGCAGCCAAAAGTTTGGGTTAATGACTTTGTTAGCATCATATAGCCTGGGGCAAGGGCACCGAGGGAATCTGCTTCTTTGGGAGAGTTTTATCCTATTGTCACAGTCTCTCTGAGTCTCACAGCCCTTGCATTGCTCCTTGGGCAGTTTATGGTTCTGCAGATAAGATGAGAATCTGGCCAAAGCGTTTTCTTTCTGGCTTACACAGCGGGTCCAGGGTGTGCAGGCGTGGTAGGGGAATCAGATTGGGACAGTGTAATTAAGAACTGCATTAGAGGATGTGTGCACAACAAAACTGGTATGGAATGTCTCACGTGGGACACTTCTGATGTTCTGACCAGGTAACACAATGACCTTCACAATATCCCTCAAGGCAGCCTGTGCACAGGGATGAGGTGGGACCCATAGGTGAAGTCCTGGCAGTGAATGTTGCTGGATGCTGGAGCAGTAGGATCAGCACCCACTGAGGTCCCTGGGGCTGACAGGGACTGACAGACGGGGGCTGTGCCCATGTATCCCACTACTTTTGTAATCCACTTTTTAACCAGGGGCTGATGTTGCCTGTTCCCTGTCCCTGGGGGGGTCTGTTGAGAGGATTCTGAGCACCTGGGGCAGCAGGTGCCCCATGAGCAGCATCTTCAGAGATTTCAGCAGCATTGGGCTTCCCCCCACCCCTCCCCTCCCCCGTGTTGTGAGCTGCTCTTCTTCAAAGCCCAGTAATATGACTAATTTGGGTGGGTTTATCTAAAAGACCATAAAAGGCTGCTTCATGCCAAATTTCGAGACCCTATTTCCAGAGTTACAGTCAAAAAAAAAAAAAAAGGCAAGCCTAAGAATGACCAAGATGATGCTCTTCTACTCTGCTTTCATCTTTGGAAGAGGCAAAGGATTTGGAGCGTTCAGAAAACATCCAGCACAGGCTGCCAAGGCAGAAAGTTGCAGCCTAATTCATTCAAGTTTGGCAATTTTTAAGGAGCCACAACAGGGATGTACTGTGGGGAGCATCTGGCCACCGTAGCTGTGGTTCCTAGTGGTTTATAACCGGTAATTCAGCGTTTTAGAGCTCACCGGCTTAACGAACGTAAGAGACGATGGCAGATTGTGACTGAAAGACCGTAAGAGATGATGGCAGATTGTGACTGAAAGACTGTCTTTAACCTGAATTTTAATCTTCTGCAGCAATGGTTTAAAACAGTGCAAGCCAACTTCTGTAGGGTCCCCGGGAGCTGGGGAAGATGCACGGTGTACATCCAGTTATTATTATTTTAATTCAAGAAACCGTTTCTATCCCGACAGCACCGCTGCCGTTGTTTTTAATTCCGGGGAAAACAGCTGGCAACAGGCAGCCCTGAACCACCCAGAGCCCAAAACACTCGTCTGGGGAGCGCGCAGCAGGGTCACCCCGCGGGGAGGCGGCCGCGCCGCTCCGCACCTCTGCGCGGAAACTCTGCGAAGTTTTTTTTGGGGGAACACACGCATGTACAGACACACACGCGGGTCGGGGAGGGGGGCTCTGCTGCCGCAGCCGCATCCCCAGCCCCGCCGCTCCTCGCCCCTCCGGAACGGGCGCGGAGGCTCCGCGTCCCCCCCCACCTCCCACCCTCCCGGGCGGTTCCCACGCCCCGCGGCCGCGCAACTTCGCTACGCGGGTGCGGGAGGGAGGGAAGCGGCTCCGCACCGCGGCCCCCGCCCGCCCCGCGATGGGCAAGAACCGTCTTTTTGACGCAGGAGAAATGGCAAATTTTAAGTACGTCATTAATATGGCGCCAAAAGCTTTTTTTTTTTTTTTTAAGTATAAGCTTATTTTTTTTTCCTTCCCCCCCTTTAAAAAAAAAAAAAAAAAAAGAGGAAAAAAAAAAAAAAAAGAAAGGTTGGCGAAGCCGCCCCGTGTACGCGTGTGCAGGGCGCGGAGAGGGGGAGCGGGCGGGGGGCGGGCGGTGTGTGTGAGTGTGTGTGAGTGTGAGTGCGTGTGCAGGGCCGGGCGGCGGGACGGCTGCGGGGCGCGGGGCTGCGGGGCTCCGGGCAGCGCCATGGGGCCCCGGCGGCCGGCGGGGGTGACGCGGGGCGGGCGGCGGCGGCGGCGGCGCGGCCCGCGATGGGACCCGCGCTGCGACCCGCGCTGCCCGCACCTGGCCCTGCCGCGGCGCCCGGGGAGGAGAAGGAGAGAAATTGAAGATTTGGGGCGGCCGAGGCGGCGGGGGGTGGGTGGGGGTGGAAGCGCCGCCACCATTATCCGTCCCCGCTCCGAAAGTCGCTTCCCCGCCTCCCTGCCGGAGCCGGAGCCGGAGCCCGGGCGGCGGCGGGGCGCGGAGCGCCGGAGGAAGTGCGGGGTGAAAAAGAAAGAGAAACAGGCGGGCAGGGCTCGCCCGGCCGCGGCGGAGCGGCCATCTCGGCTGGGAGCGGGGCCGCATCCATGGAGTTACCGGGCGGGTGCTCCTGAGGAGGGCCCGGGCGGCGCGGCCCCGGCAATGACACCGGATTGAGCCGCCGAGGGGGCTCTCCCGGCCGGGGACTGCGGGAGCATCCCCCGCCCCCGCCTCCTCCCGCCCGTCACCCCAGAGACCGGCGCAACTCCGGGCGGACACTCTCCTGGCCAAGGTAAAGGCTCGGCGGGGTGGCGGCGGGAGCGGGCTGGGTTTGCAGCGGATGGTTATTTTGCAGCTCCCCCTGCTTTTGCTGTATTTCTGTGTTTTTTTTTTAATTTATTTATTTTTCACCCCCCTCCCTCCCCCGGCTGCCGGGCGGGGGATGTGCAGCATTGCCGGGGCGGATGGCGCACGGTGGTCACTCTCCCTTGGAAGTGCGGGAGGGAGGCGGCGGGGACGTAAACAAGAACTTTTCGAGGCTCGGTTCGCCGCTTCGCCCCCTTTATCCCCCCGAATTAATGACTGCGGCAGCGGCCCCGCGCCCTGCCCTGCCCGCCGGGAGGGGAGGGGGCGCCCCGGCGGCCCGGGGGGCTCGGGCGGGCTCCGCACCGGGGGCTGTGCGGGCTCGGCGCGGGGCCGCGGAGCGCGGCGGGGCCGCGGGCGCGGAGCGCAGCGCGGGGCCGGGATGGCGGTGCCCGGGGGCGTGGCGGCTGCCGGCTCCCGCCTGCCCTCCCCTTCCTCCCCCCTTCCCTTCCCTTCCCTCCCCACCGCGGGGCTTTCCCCGCCGCCTTCCCCCGCCGCACCGCGCTGGTGGGTCCCGGCGCTGCCGGGCCCGGGGGGATGGGGGGGCACCCTCCGCTCCCCCCCGCGGCATCACCCGCGCTCGAAAAACATCCCGCGTCCTCCCCCCTCCCCGCGCTGTGGTCCCCGCGGGGCGGCCCCCCCTTCTCCCTCCCTCCCCGGCCACCTGCCCCCTCCCCGGGCGCTCTCCCGCATCCTCCGGGGAAGCAGCGGCGCCCCCGCCGCGCTCCGGCCCCTTCCCCACCTGCCGAGCCGCTTCCCGCTCAGGGTGCGGGGCTGGGAGCCCCCCGCGCCCGGGGTGGGAGCAGCGAGCTGGAAGTTGGGAAGCGCTGCAAAGGCGGGAGGCTGCTGAATTGTCAACCTCGGGAGGGGAAGGAAAAATAATCATGTATTTATCTCTCGCCATACCTGCACATCCTGAGCGCCTTTTGAGTGGGAAGGGAAGGATGGCATGGCACTCGCAGGGAAAATTCCCAGCGCCTTCTCAGCACCCACAGTGAAAATTGTTTACTGGAGGGTTCGAGCCAGGAGCCTCCGACGGCTGGGACATTTTTAGGAGGAGATTTTGCTTGAGGGAAGAAAAATTCAGTGATCTCAGCCTTATCCCCGGGGGTAAGGAGCCCGGCTCTTAGGAATGGTGTTTGACCTTTAAGCATTTATTGGCTACTGGGGTTAAAATAAGCTTTAGATAGAAGTAAAAATAGCTGGCAGAAAGGTTAAATCGAAGGTTAAATTTGTTTTTCCTAGGAAAATTGGGGCTGATGTTCAAAAGTGTAGGCTTGGAGCAAAGGATGGAGGGTACATCTTAGGGGGTCTGTAAGCAGGGAGATGCAATTCCTTTAAAGTATTGATGGTTGCTGATAGTGTTTGACACCCGAGTTCTGAAAGCTGGTGGGTGGGTGGTCCCCACACTATTTAGGTCTGGTCTTTGCCTTTCTATGGGTGTTCCGTACAAAGATCGGAGTGCCCGTAGCTCCTGTTGATTTCCTCGGAGCTGTGGATGCTCAGAGACCTGCAGGATGGGGCAGCCGGCTGTGGGCGTGGAGCCGTGCCCGGTGTCCCTGCCCGGTGTCCCTATCCTCATCCTTCCCCCCAAAGGCAGAGGTGGCTCCAGTGCCCTCAGTAACCTTTCTGACTACCTGTGCTCTGTCCGGGCTTGCTGAAGAAAAAAATAGATAATTAGAGGGTAACGAGTCAGAAGAGGCAAGTGGAGTTATAAATGTGAGTAGTAAAGAAAAAAATCCCCTTATAGATGTGGAGAAGGGCAAAGCACAGGAAGTAAACGAGGGCTTGTTTTGTTTTAAATTGAAATGAGATTAAATTTTGCCCCAGGGAGCCAAGACAGCCAGCAGAGTTGGCGTGGAGGAGAGGAGGGATGGCTCACTCCTCACCTGGGCACCTGAGTTTTTGCTGGAAAGTTGGGGCTGGCAACAACCTGTGGAGGAGGCGAGGGGCAGGCGAGCCCCGGCGGGCAGGGGCAGGCTCCCACTGCCCGGAAAATGGGTGTTCTGGGTCCCAGGATCCTGCCTGTCTGCGTTTACACTTCTGCAGGGTTTCCAGGGGGGTTTAGAGAAGCTTCCTCCCAGACGCGAGGGCTGCGCACCGCGGTGTGCTGAGGGTCTGCCGGCCCAGCCGCGGCGCGTCCTTCGGTCCAAAACTTTGTTCTCCTGTTACTATGAAATTATGGCTCTTCCAATTCGGGGGACGCTGCTGCTCTCTCAGAGCCTCCCGTAGCAGCACTTGGCTCCGGAATTGCTAGTGGGAAAAGGCGATGGGAAGAGAGGACAAGCCTCCCACGGTGTAAAGGCTGGGACGTTCCAGCCCTCCACCCTTCTTATTACACTTTCTAACAACTGCTGTTCCTAGACAGAGGGGGGAAAAAAAAAAAAGCAAAACCGGCTGAGGCAGAGGGGGAAGCGCTGAGGGGATGCGTCGGGAGCATCCCCGCGGCTCCGCATCCCCGCGGGCCGTGGGGCGGGCGCGGGGGGTCCCCGGCGCGGGGTCCGCTGGCCGGAGCGGTGTGCGTGCCGCTGGGGGCACTATGTTCCGCTTGTGTTCCTATTTCTGGGCTGGAGGAACAAACAGGGAAGTGGTTTTTCTGCAGTCTCATTGCAGCTCGCAAACAGAGCACATCATTCAGCCGGTGTTGCTCACAGCGTCAGAGGTGACGGCGCGGGGACCGGCGCGGCGCATCCCTCAGCCTGCTGGGGAGGCTGGGAGAGGTGATGAACAAATACTTTCCCCCCTTTTTGTTTTTTTTTAAATTTTTTTACTGCAACTTACGCAGGTTTCTGTGCCTGTTCCCTGTGGATTTCGGGAGCACAGGCGTGTGTGAATTTCTCTCTTGGCTTTGCCACAGTCCAGAATGGTTCGTTCTTGCAAACAGCCCTTGCACAGGGTGCTGGGGTGCCACTAAAATCTCCAAATCACACGGGGCTTGATGTACAGAAGAGTTTGCAGGGAGCTGGGAAACATCAGGGGGTTCCCCAGAGCACAGGGACGGTGGAGGGGTCCACAGAGGACTGGGGAAGGCAGGATAAGGCATTTTGGTTTAGTGTGGATGGGAGCGGGCACCTGTCCCTGGGCAGCGTGCCCAGAGGGGACAGGAGCTCAGGACCCGGGCACAGGCATCTGTGCCAGGGGTATTGCTGCCTTCACCTCTCCCAGGTTGCATGGGCAAAAATTGCATTCCCAAGAGCTCTTCTCCAGCCCTCCCCTGCTGTGAGGCGGGACCAGCCAGCCTCAGACCATCATCTCAATTTAAACGCCAATCCTGGTGCTAATTTTTCCAAGGCCCCGGTGATTTACATTTGTTTAGGCTGATGGAGGGCCATCATCTTCCTTGGTTTAGCATTTATCTGCCTTTCTCAGCTTGAACAAAGGCAATGCTAAACATGTGTTGGTTTGCAAGCAATTCTGGTCTTTTTTTTTTTTTCTTGGTTTTCAGGCTTTAGCCAGGGCTGTGCCTGTGGATTTGAGTTGCAGACACTTCAGGGGGATGTTCATTTGTTTATAAAAGAAATCCACATCTGTTTCTGTTTGAATTTTTTAAGCAAGCCTACATAGAAACCTTTCACTGGGTTTCTGGCTCCGTAAAAACTAGATTTTGGGCCAAGTTTGACCTAACAGTGACCTTTTCAAAGTATTACAAATTTTTTTGGTATTTGTTTATGACTTTATTAATGATGCCATGCGGGGAATGGGTCAGTTAAAGGTGAAATTAACTTCTAATGTAAACAAAAGATTAATTTTGGAGCAGAGAATGTATTTTGTGGAGACTTAAGTTGCTCAGTAGTTCACCAACTGAATTGCTCCTGAGAGCTTGTGGGAGCTGGAGCTCCATCCCTGGGCGGGATGTGGGCAGTGGGTCCCCCCCGCGGTGCCAAAGGGGTGGTGGAAGCCCAGCCACCATCAGACTTTATAACTCTATGATTCAGATGGGGAAATGGCCAAATTACCCTTCTTCTACAGTAAATTCCTCGGTTAAGTGCCCTCTTTTACTACTGTTGGGCTGCTCCTGATGAGTCCCTCGGAAAACACCATCTTCTTAGCACGGCCTGGAACTTAATCATTGCCTGGAATGGGCTGGTTTTGGCCACAAATTTTGCTCCTTTCAGGCACACAGTGCCTTGTGTGCCATCCCCTGCCCGGGGGGTGCTGCTGTTCAGAGGTGTCCCTACTTTGCTCAAGCCAGAATTTCATTCAGAAATTCAGTGCAGTTTGGTTCTGAGGATGCTGTCCTGGATCCTGCCAAACAGTGGCAAAATGATTTACTGAAGTAGAGCCACTGTTTTACCTGCAGTGTGAACCCCTTCTGTATGTGATTATCAATCCCTGCTGTTATGTTATCCATATGTTATATGCAGTGAGCATGTAAAGGTGTGTTCTGGAGGTGAATGTGGGACAGATGCAGGATGCAGGGACCAAGTGCAATTAGAGGGATGATCAGTGCATCTCCTCACGTGTGTATCAGAGCCAAAACCAGTCCCAGCATCTGATAGCTGTGCTGAGCATTGACTGTAAACCTTTTCCCTGCCTTGGAAGGAGAGTGATGTCAGTGACACTGTGTTGCTGTAAAGGCAAAGATGGGGAACCTGGGAAATCTCACTGGCTATCAGTAGCATTCCTTTGCTTCAGCTCAGGTGGTTATTTTCCCTCCGTTGGCTTTGGTTTATTTAATCTCTGTGATTAGGAACTCCAGAATCAATAAAAGCATTGCTCTGTCTTTGTGTTCCAAATGCCTGTTTGCCACTTCAGACCAGTAGAAACCAGTTTAAAAGGTTCAAGTAGAATTTCCACTAAAAGTAAGTAAGCTGCAGTTAAAAGTATCTTCAGTTTTATTTTCCCCAAGCAAAACCTAATGGCTACTTGGAACCAGGCTGTTTTAATAACATCTGTTTCCCCTTGAATCACTAGGGGAAAAGTATTGATCTTACCATATTCTCAAGGAGTGTTTTAAGTCACGTTTTGACAGGGCAATGCCTTACCACAACACTGATAGTTAAAATGTTTAGGATACTTTGTAGTATTTTCCCTGATAATGCTGTGATAACACAGAGGACATATATTGTAAAATACAGATATTGCATGGGTTTTATACGCTTATGTGGAACATTTCCTGATGTTTGGGGGGGAATGTCATGCTCCAGCTTGCTATCCAGTGTGTGTGCTGCTTGTACCTGCTGCGACCAAACCACACAAAACCAGTGTTTAATATCATTCCCACTCATCATTTGTGGAAGCAGTAGTGTGCATGACATGTCAACACCTTTAGATTCTTACAGAATATCTCAGAAAGTACTGGGAAGATGTCCATGAGATTAACATGGTTTTCCTGTGGATGTGTTTTGGCTCACAGCCTGTTGGGTATTGTCCGCTCCGTGGGTATCCCTTTCCCTCCAGAGCTCCCCAAGCCCTGTGTTGGGGGCCACGTTGATCAGTCACCAGGCACATTGGTAAACTGGGGTCTTCAAAAGCTAGAATACCTTTGTAATTCTGTTCTTTTTTAAAAGCACCTACCCGTACAGATACTTGACTTCCAGTTCCGAGCGCTCAGTTCCCGAGGGGCGAGTTCAGGAGAACCTGCTGATTTCAAGCGCTTCTGTGGCTCGTTCAAAGTCACAAAGCAGATCAGCTGAGCTTGAAACGGGGTCTCCTAATCGGTGTGGTGGTACCTGCTGCTGTGATTTCGACTCTGAGAGGATGGAGAAGTCACAGCAGCCGTGCAGAAGCCACTTGCTGACCCCGTGGGAGCTGCCTGGCTGTGCTGGAGCGGGCAGGGCGGTGCAGGGTGATGGGAAGTGTGCTTGGGGCTGGGCTGGTGTGTGTTGCCTGTGTGACAGACACCCCAGAAGTCTTTAAAAGAAGGAGATACTGGCTCCACATACATGGGAAGATGAGTCAGAGGGTAAAACCCCGGGCTTGTGGTATGCAGGGGTTCTCTTCGGGTCCGGGGTGCTCGTACTTCCCCCTGCAGACATACCGAGAGCGTGCACAGTTTCCATTCTTCTGTCTTCACATTTCTCAACCTTGCAGCCCAGGAGTTTGGCTCACAGGACATCTTCTGGTCCGTGGTGGAGCACCCTGCCATGGCAATGCTCTTTTCAGAGGAACAGCCGTTTGGTTGCAAATCCTGCCTGGACGATTTGCCATGCAAAGCTGAGTGATCCAGGTGTACCCTCTGTGACTCCTGGGAGTGGGGAAGGCTGGTAAAACACCTTAAAGTTTTAAAAAGCCCTTTGAGGATTGTTTTCTTCCTTTTTTTTTCAGCCTCTGAGTAGTTTTCTGTCTTGAGGGAAAGGACTGACTGGTGCTGGGTTAACACGGTGTGCAGATATTCAGAGATAACAGTGATTTGGTGCTGAGATGAGTTTTCTGCACATTAAGTGTAATGTTCAATTTCTTTTGTTACAGATGGAAGAAAAACGACGCAAGTACTCCATCAGCAGTGATAACTCAGACACCACTGACAGTAAGACCTTTAATTCAAAGCTTTGAACAAGATTCACCTCCAGCCGGGAAAATGCTTAAATAATTACTTTGCAAAGATTGGAGGAAACTGCATTTACTGGGAAGTCCCTGCACAATGAATTGTGTGCAGGGCTGGGTTTGTCAGAAACGCAGCAACAAGCTGATACCAATTTATTTAAACACTTGGCTGTGGCTCCTCTTAACTGATGAGAGTGTCTCCCTCGTGTGAGGAGTCTGGGCGAGGAGAGCTGCTGATTGCAGATCTGCTAACAAAGCAGCAAACACCCTTTGTAGATGAGTTGTCCTTTCCTGTGAGCTGCAGCCTGAGACTAGTTTGCTCTTGATTTGGGTCGTACGGGGGAAAGGGAAGTTTTTATTGGAGCCAGGGTAAAACTGGAGCCGCTTTGTTCCCTCCTTGCAAGCTGAAGAGTGATGTGGGAAAAGGGATAAAGCTCAAGCCAGCAAAACTTGCAAGCCCACGCTTGCTTTTCAACATCTACCTCACTTCATCCTCGTTCAGGAAAGCACAGGAGCATGTGCTCAACAATAAACATGTGCAAATGTGCTGAATTTTGGCTATAAATAGAGCACTTTCCTCTCCCACTTATCCCAGGGTTTCACCCACTGCAGACATACCGCAGTGCCTCGGTGTTCAGAACCCTTGAGGCACCAGCCTAATCCCTTGTCTGGGCTCCAGAGTTTCTTACTGGTTGCTCTTGGTCTTTTACAAATGTCACAGTAATTTCATCTGGGCCGTGCTGGGAATTTGCTCTCCACACTTTACAGGATCTGGCTGCTGGATACCCGAGAACGAAAGGGACTTTGCTAAAGACACTAAACTTCTGGGCCTTTTCCTAACCGGATGATGGGGAGATTACAGGGGGTTATGGAAAGGCTGATCTTGCTGGGTTTGGCTGCCGTTCCCACAGCTTCAGCCAAAAAAACTGTCAGCGTGAGAGGAGTTTGCACCAGCAGTGCCGACGGGAACCTGCTGTCGGGCTGCTGGCGGGGACCCCCGTCCTGCTGCAGCCCTGGGGGGGCCTGGGAGCTGAGCTGTGCCCACAGAAAGTGTTTCAGGCTCTGTCAACACCGCTGGCTTCTCGTAAAACGAAACATCTCTATCTCAGAAAGGGGTTTGTTTTGGAAGCTGCGCTCCCAACTTCCCGTCTCCTTAATCCCCAGATGCTCAAGGGCTTACGGAGCAGCTCGTGGGCTCCGCTGCCTTTCGGGGGTAAGGCATCTTTAATCATGGTGTTAAACTACATGGCCTTATCTCTGCTGGGCTTGGATATTTATGCTGCAGGTGATATCTAAGCTGTTGACAAATGCTCTCCTGCAGGATAATTGTAAACAGAGTGGTGACCATCTTTTTTTCGTGCTCTGCCAGGAAAGGGTGGTAGTGGTGTGTTATCCAGATTTGAGTAGTTGTAGCATCACACTGTAGCTTGAGAGGAGGGGGCAAGGTGGAAATTAGTGGCTCAATCTCTCCATAAAAGCTGTGGAGCTGCTGCTGCCCTCCTTTGAGCAGCTCACTGAGTAAAGCAGCATGTCCATGTGGCTGCAGCATAGGGATGTCTGCTGTGGGCTTTGCCCACACAGTCCTGTTATGCACTGAAATGCTGTAGAAAAGTTATTTAAATGGAGCTGTCTTTAGTGACATCTAGCCTGACACTGCAGTCAAAAAACCAGCTGCCTTTTGAGAACAGGTGATGCCCCCACATTTGGTCTTCATTTTATGAAGAACGAGAAAGTGCTCTGCAAGTAAAGAGTGCAAGGTGAGCTGGTGCCTCTTCCCCTGCCAGCAAAAATAGGCATGTGAGATTTATCTGGGCTCAACTGCCTGAGCTGGTGGAGGAACAGACATTTCCCATTGCAGTGGTACTGCACCCTGATCCCTTGGGTCAGCTCAGCTCCTGACCAGATCCCTTCCTCTTTACAGGGCTCCATCCCTTATGTGCACAGTCAGCCATACAAGGATAAAATCAGTGATAAATAGGGCTATTGATGGTTAATTTGTTGCACCCTCACAGAAACGTTTTTATATGGTGGAATCTGGAGGGGTCCTGCTATAGGGAAGACTGAACTATCATCATTATTATACAAAAAATCCAGTAACTAGTTTGTTATTTATTATTAACAAATATGGCAGTTTTCTACGTGCCAATGACACAAATAGATTGGAAATAAAGATCAGTAATGTAATGGTCCCAGAACATTTCAGGCTTTAGCTACCCTTGCCTTACAGAGGTGGTAGCAGTGGTGATGATACCACTGCAGTCAGGATGATGAGAGACCATTCATAATGCTCCCTGAGGAAAGTATTCCCAAATCTCAAAGCAAATACTCTCTTACTACTGGAAAGTGTAAAGTGCCTTTGCCTGATGTGTTCTGCTGTGTGGTTCCCAGTGGATGCTGAACTGCACACAGCTGTGGGAATTCTCAGTCCTGGTGTGGGCAGAGGAGTTTGCCCCAATTTTGTCAATAGTTTTGACCATGAGGTCTGAAGTCCATGAGCTGTTCAGATACCTGTCTTTAAGCATCCTTGCTAGAAAACTTTTACCTCCTAAATTCCTAATCCCAAGAGACTCCTGATTCCAGGAATGAGCCCTGACTCATTCCCTCTTAGAAGCCAGCCTCACTTGTGACTTTGGGTTTTTCATTTCTGATGTCTGCATTTGAAAACAGTGTTTTTAAATTTCAGGGGCCTCTATTTCATCATCTGCGTCATCATCAGTAGCAGGAAAGTGATGTTAGTGTGTTCTGGTGAGGTGCCCTGGGGTGTGCACAAAAATAATGCCACATCAAGGTATTATTGCCTCTCAGTGCTGGCCCAGAGTGTTGAGGCTGTAGCAGCAGGGCTGGTGGCAAAGATGTGGAAAAAACTTTTGACTCTTTTCCAGGTAACCTGTCTCTGTTGCCTCGTTACAGGTCACACCACATCCACCTCCAGATGCTCCAAAATTCCGAATACCAAATCCCCCTGGTCACGGCAGAAGGAGAAGAAGCCCTCTGAGGTATGTGGGCTTTCAGGCTTTTGCCAGAGGGGGGTTTCTCATGGCACCGTGCTTGCCCAGATGTGGAAACCAGCGTGTCCCTGTCTGGCTGTGGGCAGTGGGTGCCAGGACAAGGCATCTCCAGGAAGGCAAAGCCACAGCTCCTGACAGTGGTGCCAACCCCAGCTCTGCTCAGAGGGAGCAGGAGGGGAAACATGATGGGCATCTCTGATGAAGGGTGAGGGGTCCTTGTGCCCAAAATCCTTGTGCCCACCTGTTGATGCAAGTGAAGAGAGGTTGAGTTTGGTGGGACTGGGAGGCCCTGCAGTTTTGGGGTGTCTTTGTGCCAAGGTTTCCCGTTTTGGGTGCCCGCTGGGTGCCCTTTCGTCGGTGGCACAGGTCACAGCACTGATGGCAGGGGACGGTGACGTGGAGGCTCCTCCCCGTGAGCAAGTGGGAGGCAGGGAGAGCTGTGAAATGAGAGACAGCACAGCTGAGTTGCAGATCATGTTGTGTTGGTTTCCTCCTGTCACGGGGCTCAAGGGCATTAAGCCGAGGCCGTCGGTGTCTGACCTTGCCCGCGGGGTTTTCCCTGGCTGGGACGGGCAGTGCTGCCCACCCTGGGGACACTGCCCAGGTTCCCCTGGCAGCTCTGCAGTGCAGGCCCTGGGACTGGGGTGGGAGCAGCTGTGTGTCCCCGGGACTGTGCTGGAGGGGACAGTGCTGTGCCCTGTTTTCCTCCGTGCGCCTCGGATACATTTCCACGAGCCATGGAAACTATACCAGGCATGAGCTGCTGTTGTAGCAACCACAGTGTTTGGCAGTGGTCATCTTCATGTCAGCAGCAGCGTGAGCAAAGCCAGAGGGACATTGTTCTCACATTCCCTTCCCTCTGGACCAGGGTCTGGAGTCAGGCAGAGCTAAGTTTAGAAGCAGGTGAAGCTGGCATGGCTGATGTGAACTCCTGCCCAAGCTCCCCCCGTTTCACCTCTCCTGATGCTGTGGCCTGCTGAGCACAAACCTCTGTAACATCTTCCTTTTGCATCAAGCTGAGTAGAGATTTTGAGGTTTTCCTGTGGTCACTGCCTGAATTACAGCTGCACTTGGTTTTTACTGCTCTGACAGGTTTACATTGATATATCTTAAGTGTTGGTGAAGGACAGAGACTGAAAAAGTCCAAGTTGTTTGTGCCGTGGGAAAAGAGAGGGACTGAAAAGCTGTTAGTACCAGCTGAGGTAGTTGGAAGCACTCCAGAGAGCAAGAACCAGGGGTGCAGATGTCACTGGCTGCTGACAAGGCTGTTAGAAAGTTGAACATTAGCACTGGTTATAGATGTGTCTCGATACGGGTCAGGGGGTGATTTCTGTGAGCTGAATCCTTCCTAGGAAAATGAAGGATTTAGGGGATCTTCTCCTCCTCCTATGGCACCGTTATCCCCTTCTGAAAAAATGCTTATCCTTGTGCCCAGTGTGTCCAGAAAGGCCTGGGGTGAGCCCTTCAGGTGCTGTCAGGTGGAGATGCCCAGTCGTTGGACCTGGTTAGATGTGACAGCATGTGACTCATGCATCAGGGCAGTGTGATGTGTGCCACCCTGCTGCTGCCCAGTAAAACTTTCCTCCCAAGTGTTGCTGCATCTCTTTACTGCATCAGTGGTACAGACAGGCTTTTGTCTGTAATATGAATTAGTTTAATCAGCCATTTAGGATTTTACCCAGCTGCTGATGAAGTTACTGGATATAAAAGTCCAAGACTCCAAGCAAAAATGCTTCTGGACTTGCTGAAGGGTGGTCAGACCTGGATCCAAGTTGCTGCTGTACAACAGCTGGAGTGAAAACTAGATCTTAGTCCCTGGCACCCGGGGAGATGTCAGATGTGGTGCCTGTGGAGGGCCAGGCTCATCCCTCTGCTTCATGCTCTGTTATGCCCTGAGGAGGATTCTCAGTGAAATGTAGCTCTGGAACAAATAAAGTGGAGCAAAAGCTGAACAGTGCCCAACTTAGCAACAGTTGGGACAGAAAGTGAACCTCTGTGGCTTATCTGAGCTGAAACTCCAGGGGAATTCGGGGAGGCGATGTGTGATTGCTCAAGCTGGAGCTTGGCCAGGATGCTCAGGCTGACAAACCATCTTTTGCAAAAGCGTGGTGGGAACGCAGGCAGATGGAGCAGCCCAGGTCTGGGCCGTGCTCCCCTTTCCCTCCATCGCCCCTGCGGCTGCCGTGTCCGGGACTGCTGGAAATCAGCTCCAGGGGGAACCCAGGGATCCAGAGACAGTGTGTGAGGTCGGACATAGGATTGCCCCAAGATCTGCAGCAGTGCTGGTTAGTGGTTACTCCAGTATGGATTTCCTCTACAACAGCATCTTCCAAAATCTTCCACGAGTGACCCAGCGCCTTCCCTTCCTGTGATCACCCCTGAACCCCTCAGGTCCACGTGTGGGATCTGCTGTCTGTCATCTGTGACACACTGCAGGGTTTGGCAGGTCCCTGAGGATTTCTTGTAGGAACCCTGGAGGATTTCAGGCACAGACTGGGATGGGCACCATGTCCTGCTGGAGCGAGTACTGAGAAATGGAAAACATAAACCACACCACTGCCAAACTGCTTCACGTGAAATGGCGAGGTACCTTGCTCTTGTCCATCCTGCTGAGGATGGAAACCACAGGAGGGTGACAGGGAGAGCAGGATGAATGTGTTATCAGATTTGAACCCCCAGACATTTGGGCCTGGACAAATCTTTTCAAACAATAACTCAAACTCCAGTTTTACAGGTGGCTTTTAGATTTGTCAGGAGCTGCAGTGGGTGCAGGCATGTCCTGAGGGATGGCGATGCTGGAGGATGGGCTGGTGGAGCAGGACCCACTGGCCTCTCCTACCCCTCTCCAAGTCATGTCCCCATTTCTCTGGGAGCTGGAGAAACCATGCATTCCCCCTGACAACCCTGGGCAGGACATAAAAAAAAAAAAAAATCAAAAGCATTAGTGTTACATAGTTATTAGTCAGGTCAGGGGGTGATGTTTATTATGAAAGGCTCTGTGAGAAGGGATTAACTATACACATTAAAAACCACCCGATACGAGGCATCTGGAAAAACAAGCTTCTTACCATGGAAAAGTACTGAGCTGTTTGTAAACATCCTCCAAGGGGCCATTGCCAGGGAGGGTGATTATATTTATCTGTGCCTGTCACGGGGCTCTGCCCGGGCTCTTTCCTGATGTGTCCCAGGCACCAGGCCTCTGTCTTGGCTGTCTCCCTTGCAGAGGTGGCAGCTGCCCTCCCCTACCCCTTCCTGGGCAGCAGAGCCGTGCCCGGGGCACCACCAGGCTTAGCCCCAAAGGCTCTGCAAGAGCCTTTGGGGCTAAGCCTGGTGGTGCCCCGGGCACGGCTCTGCTGCCCTGCTTCTGCCTGAAGGCACAGGGAGGACGTGGGCAGCTGCCAGCAGCTTCTTGCATCTGCACTGATATAGCAGTCTACCAATCTGGTGATTTTAATTAATCTCGTTAGAGCTTGGAGTTCGGTGGCTGGTACCCCATCCCCGTGTCCCTGCGAGGTCGTGCTCCCTTTCCCACGGGGGGCTGGAAGGAGGGGATGCTCCCTCAGGCCCTACCTGTCCCTACCTGTCAGTGGCTCTGAGGCTGCAGCAGGGAGTGAGACATGCCTGAAGGAGGGATTTCTGCTCTGAAGGAGGGATTTCTGCTCCTGTTGGTGGCACATCAGCACAGCCCTGCCCCCGGGCTGCTGGGGACAGAGAGCACACGAGCCTCGCTGGTTTGACTGCAGTCATCAAACCTCTCTGCTGTTCCTGACAGGGAACAGTTGTCAGTGTCTAAGGAGAGAATATAAGAACAAGGCAAGTGTTGTAATGATAGTAGCCGGTTCTATCTGCCAGCTCCCAGCCATCAGCGGCCCGGGGACTCCCTGGGATGCCTCATCTGAGTCACTGCTGTGTTAGTCATTAGCTCCAGAGCTGTTTGAGATCCAAAATGCTCACCTGCGCTGCTGGAATACATTGTGGAGGGACTAAAGGCTGCTTTTTTTGTGCAAACCACCTGCCTGACAGCGCCCCAGCCGTCCCCCTTTCCCAGCTGGAGAGCCCTGCCCAGCCTCAGCTCCGCTGCTCATCCCGCCGGACATCCTCACGGCCCTTCTCCTTCAGGAGGCGAGGGGACCACAGCTGCAGGCAGGGCTCAGGATGAAGGGGAAACCACAAATTTATACAATTTACGTTATTTTCTGCTTGCCTTGTTTAGATGTTACTTCCGTGTTTTGAAAGATGCCTTTTTATATCTCTTTGCAAGGTTTTAACTCATTTAACAAACATCCTCATGGTTTCCCTTCTACAAAGTAATTCTTCATGCACTGGATAATATTTTTTTCCCCCTGCAATAGGTATATAATGGCTCCTTGCAATGTGAATTTAGCCCTCCTTGCTTGGAGAAGAGCTTTTATGGGTATGGCCGAGCAAGACTGGACAAGCTTTTATTGGGCTGGATGAGAAGATCTGTCTCTGTTGAAAGGTTTGACTGCAGTGGCTTTGTCAGTTTTCCCATGCTGGCACGGGGATAACAGATTAATACCATTGTCTTCTGAATGCTGAGAAGGGACAGACAAAAATGCTTCTTGTTCCTATTTTAAGTCCTGTTGTTCACTGAATTTTTAACATCCAGCATTTAGAGAGGAAACAAGACTAAATGAAGAGATGGGAGGCTGGCTCCCAAATGGACACAGGAGTTCAGGATTTTTCTCCCCACAGGCAAATATTATTGCTGGTTGCACACACACTCCAGGCATTGCCACATTTCAGAGCCTTGCTACCCAGCATCAACGCTCTTCTCATTTCAGAAGGGACTGGAGAAGTGTGATATAACAGCAGGGAAACAGGGCTAGGAGTCTAGAGGGGAGTGGGGCACGGAGGTGCCGTCTCAGGCTGATCTGAAGACAGTTTGTACGACCAAAAACTATTCCCAGGGCTCCCATTGTTCCCGTTGTTTTCTCTTTCTCTGAAAATCCTTGTGACTCATGAGCTACAACAAACAACTTTGTGCTTCAAGGAGTGAAGGGCTAACAGAGCCCACTGGAAGTGAGGAGGGAGCCCTGTGAGCGAGGCAGCTGAGACTGCCCCGGTGCGGGTATGAGGGTGGGTATGGCAGGGAGGGTAGGACACAGCTGCCAGGGCTGCAGTCAGGGAGGAAGAAGAGTGTTGAGCCAAAACCTGAAGACAACCTGTCATCTCACTGTCAGAAAGCACTCCCACACGTGGTGACCTGCTGCTGCCTGTCCTTTGGAGCACCCACGGCCGGCGCCTGCTATGGCGAGGTCACCACGGAGGGATCCCACACAGGTACTGTGTGTGTGAGGGAATCGGGGGAGGATTGCAGGTCTCTTGGGTGATGGAGGGAATGGATCAAATGTGAGATCTCGAATGCAGACTGTGATCAGTCCCTTCCCACCTTTCCCATCCGCCCTCTCTCTAATGACCATGGCATGTATTCCTGCATGGGCTTCGTTTTGAACAACCAGCTTTGCTTCTCTTACATTTTGTACCCACTGCCTTGCAGCGTGGAGTACTTTGGAAAGGTTTCTTTTTGCTAAAACTTCTTAGCAGACCCAAAAAAAAGAGATGTCAGTGCATATTTTATAAAATGCCATCCTATCCTGGGGCTGGGAGGAGGGACAGAGCTTGTCCCTCTGTCCCAGAGAGCAAGGCCTGAAAGCTCCGAGGTCAGCTGGGTGCAGATGGCAGGGGAGAATGTGTAATGGAATTCCTGCCAGCCCGGGAAGCGCCGTGTGCAGGGACACGGCTTGGCAGGCTCGGACCTACAGAACAGTCACTGGGAAAGAGTCCTTGACAGAGCACATGGAGTGGGAGCTGAATGATGGGGAGATTGTCAGCCACTTCACTGAGAGGGGTCTGTGAGTGAATCAGAGAGCCTGGAAATCGATGCAAGGATTGCGTGGAAAGGTGATGGAGAGGCTCTGAGAGGGGCTGGATGGTGATGGGGGAGAGGCAGAGGAGGAGGAGAAGGATGCTGGAAAGCAGCACAGCCTGGGAGCCCTTTGCTAGGAGAGGGATGGAGTTTCCAATGCCCATCATTCCTTCCTGTCATGGCAAGACACTGTGTGCCTGGGCATCTCCTCCCAGGAGCACATGTTTGTCTCTGAGGTTGTCCAAGTGTTGGACAAATGGAAGCAGGTCCGTGGAGAGCTCCTGGAGGTGCCTCACAGCTGTTGCAGGGCACAGGGAGAGGCTGCAGGGCTGTCAGTCCAGCACCACAAACTGGTGGGCTCAAAGGTTGGGGAAGTAGCAAAGATGGGTAATCCAAATGCCTGGCCTGTGAGATATGAGGGAGAGGGAAGTTTTCCCCATATGCTTTTTTTTGCCTGGGGTCTGAGGCTGCACAACCACGCTGACCCTGACTCTGTGTCCCTCTCATTTGGCAATATGAAGGCAAAAATACCTTGGGATTTTGCAGTTTTGTTTTCTTTTTCCCCATCTTTAAAGCTGACACTAGGAAAAGGGGAGGCTGGCCCTGGGCATGGGTGTGATGCATCTCCGAGCATCACTAAGCCTGCCTGAGGTTCCTGAGCAAGCAGAGGCAATAAAGGAACATCTTAGTTTGGCCTTTCCCATTGCTGGCAGATCGATAGGCAATAACCTGGATCCTGCTGCTGGGCTGGAAGGGGAGGACAGAGCCTGGCCAGGGCTGTGGTGGTGGCAGGGGGAGCAGGGTGCAGGGCAGCAGACAATTCGTCAGCTCCCACGGCCGGGGAGAAACAGTAAACACTCCTATTGAGGGAAAATTGCTTGTTTTCTGGTACCCAACTTTTTCTTCACCGCCAGGTCCTCGGTTCATCAGTGCCCAATTTATCCTTTATTTGGTTTTCATAAATAATTCAGAAGAGTTTGAGTAGAATAATTGAGTCTTTTCCCAACCCTAATCCCAGACAATTCAAAACAAAAAGACATTTAGATTACAATTTGAGCGTATTAGCTGTTGGGAGATTTCCAGACAACTGATCTGCTTTCCTTTACAATTTCTGTGCTGTTCTATCATTTCTAAAGTGTTTCTGCTTTGATAGTTAATAATTTGAGCATATCCAGTTCCTCATGAAAAGACAGAGGCGTCGCTGTGATAAAGTGCGGGCGCGCGCGCTGCCGTCGGATGGGCGAGCTTATCTGTTTTCCAAGAAGGACTAAATAAATGAAGTAGTGAGATTGCAAATCCAGCCTGCGATGCTCCTTATCTTCAGGGAGATAGATACAATCGTGCTTATTTGGCTTAAAATTAAAACTAAGCTGCCTGCGCCGATGAGAGCTGAAAAGCCAGAAGGGATGAATTTGGGGGAGGACTTAATGCAGGAAAACAGGAGCCTGGGATCTGCACCGTGCACAGGGGAGGAATTACACCCAGGGCTGGTCCCATTGTGGTGTTTTCCAGTGCCCAGGCTCTTGAGGTTGTGGAGGGGTTTGTGTCTGCTGAGGGTGTTGGGAAGCATTGGTAAGGCTGATCCTTGTCCAGAGCAGCAGGACACGGGCTGCTGGAGACATGACCCCAGCAAAGAGCTGAGAGCACTAAAGAAGTTTCCTGATAGCTGTAAGCAAAGGAAAATGAGTGAAGCTTGTGACACGAGGTTTGTATGGAGCTGTTGTGTTTCCTACCCATGGATGGCAGCCCCGGGGATGGCCAGGCCTCCCCAGTGGTGCTGCCAGCTCCTCCCTGGGTTGGTTGCATGACACGTTGCAGGCTTCTCCACCTCCCTCTTCATCAGTAGGAGGAGGGTGATGGGCCAGGATTTTGGTTTAGAAAAGCTGTTGGGTGCCCTGCACCTTTGGAAACCATTCCTACCTGGCTTTGCCCACAAATCCCAGGAGCACGTGTCTCCAGAACGGTGTTTTGTGTAACATCATTGTGCTGGTGCCAGGGGAAGTTTAGATGGGAATTAAGACAAATTTCTTCACTGAAAGGATGGTTAAGCCCAGGGTTCTGGTGGAATCACCACCCCTGGAGGTATTCAGAGGCCATGTAGATGTGGCACCTGGGGACATGGGTTAGTGGGGGCCTTGGCAGTGCTGGGTTAATGGTTGGACTTGATGATCTTAGAGAGCTTTTCCAACCTTAGTGATTCTGTGGTTCAGTGGGTTCTGTGGTGCTGGTGGCCAGGACAGGGAGGTGGCACTGGTCCCCATGCTGCCCTCAGCCTGTGTGGTTCAGGGGAGCATCTCATCCCCCAAAGCCAGGTGATCCAAGGAAGGACACTTAACTGGGGTTTGCATTGTCCTCATTGGAACTGGGCACCAAAACTGGGTTATGGAGGTGCTGTTTGCCCAAGCTGTGACCTGTCAGTGCAGGGCTGGCAAGAACAGGGTGTATTTCTGTGCTGTGTTGTAGAAAATGAGCTACAGCAGGGTTCCTGTGCTTGTTTGGATACACAGGCACAGCGCTGGAAGGACTATGATATATCCCATATCCATTCTCATGTTTAATTAATGCCTATTTTAATACTTTTTAAAAAATCTCTCACTCTGGCAGTGTATTAAAAGGTTACTCTGGTATCTCTAGCGCTGCTTTTGTAGCACATAGAGACTTAAAGGACCATGATCTTTCCCAAACTGAGCCTAATCCTGCCTGTAGTATATAGGCAGTTAATTATGTTTGTTGAAGGATGCAGTGAGACTGTCTGACCAATTCAAATCAGGTTTATATAGACACAGTCAAAAATGTCTCCAAGCAGCTGCATCAGGAGGAAAGCACCAGGAAAAATCAAAGAGGTCCCAACATAGCAAAGGTTGTTTATATATTGTATTTAACTCTAATTGGGTTAGCAGCTGAGACTCTGAGGATTAAACAAACTGACCTAAATACTGGTCTCAGTGGTCTTAGTTAGTGTCTAGTTTCCTGCCTCTCAGCCGATTTGGGTTCCCAAATACTCTCCAAAGCATGTTATTTTTGTATCAAAAAATGTGAAACTATGTTGTATTATTTCTTGTGGTTCTGACACAGCAATACTCTTTTGGAGAATAGACTCTGTGAAGAGATTAAACAACATCTGAAGAAAACATCTGATCCATCCTGGCCTCGTGGAAGGAATGCAGAAGTAGCAGGGATGGAGTGGATGGAGCGAGATGGTGTCCAGGCAGGATTGCTGGCACTGGCAGTTATTATTCCAGCTAATAGCAGATGGTAGAGAGGAGAAATCATCCATTTTCATTTACAATTTATTTTTATGCTGCAAGAAGCAGGATTGCTCTAGTCATTGCTGTCAGGCAGCCCTCTGGAAGGAAAACCTTATTTACCGTGAGCGATATTTTTGGAATGAGTTTTTCATCCTAGTATATTGGGAGAAGATGCTGCAGGGCCAGCAGTGAGATGGAAAATGAGCCCATTTACTGACTGAAGGGCTGGAGGATGTTCCTGAAGGAGGGGTCCGGTGTCGATCTCACAAGGGGTTTGTTGGGTCAGGACACATCTCGGTGTGTTTGGCTGTGGATGGGTGAGCAGCACTTAGGTCACCTTTTAGCCAGTTATTTTCCACCTTCAGCTGTTGGCTGTCCCTGCTTGGGACGATGAGGGGACATGATGGGGAGCTTGAGGCAGTGAGGTGACGGGACATGAGGTTCTCAGGGTGATGAGGTAACCACAGTGGGGACACGAAGGTGCTCAGCGCAGCGAGGTGACATGAAGAGGACACAAAGATGCTCAGGGTCACGAGGTGATGTGGTGGGGACATGAAGGTGATTGGGATGGTGTGCTCTTTGTCCCCTGCAGCTTTTCATGTCAAGAACGTCATTTCCCTTCCCTCAGGAGGGCTGAGTGCGGAGAAGCCCAGTTGCAAAATGACACGCTGGAGCCGTAGCAGTGGTGATGCAAACCCCCACTGCGCTGTCCCCCAGCCCCTGCCAGACCCCTTCACTCAGGGTGGGTTTTCCTCTGGTGCAGGTTTTCCGCACGGATCTGATAACGGCCATGAAGATCCCTGACTCCTTCCAGCTGAGCCCTGACGAGTACTACGTCCTGGCTGATCCCTGGAGGCAGGAGTGGGAGAAGGGTGTCCAGGTGCCGGCAAGTGCCGAGGCCATCCCTGAGCCTGTGGTCAGGTAAGTGAGCACGGTCCCCTCTGTGGGATCCCCTCTGCCTTGGTGGGGTGCACACACTCAGGGGGCATGCAGAGGTGATGCATGGGAACTGGGCTTGCACAGGGACGTGCAGGGACCTCCCACTGCACCCTGAAAAGTCCCTCTCGTGTGCCTGGCTTTTTTTGGGCAGTAGCCAGGCGGGCCAGCTCCTTGCTTCCTCTTGGTGGGGGAATTTTCGAAAAGATCCGATAAAATCAAGGGGAGGATAAAAAAGTACCAGCAGAAAACCACCCAGAACTCCAGCCTCTGCCTGGCTGGCTGATGCCTCTCTGCCTAGAAACACGTGGCTGTACCGCTGGTATTTCACGGCAGGGGAGCAGGAGTTGGCCCTTAAATTAAAAACTTCCCTCTTTACTATGTTTGTGTGGATTGGAAACGTGCTGGGCATGCTGAGATTCGGGGCTTGGGAAAAGGAGCCCAGCGAATAGAGAAGCATCTCCCAGACCTTGTAGAGACGACGTCTGTCAGCCGAGATCGGGGGCTCATTAGCTATTTTAAAATAGGGAACTGGGTTCTAAAATAGACACTTAAACAGCTGCTCAGGCAAAAGAGAAACGTGGGGGAGCTGCTACCCGCTCGATGTGTATGTGGGATTATCCCAGGGCAGTGGCCAAAGCTGTGGGGGAGAGGCTGGTGCTGCTGCTGGGGTGAACTGGGCAGGTTGGGAAGGGACCCTGAAACTCTCAGGGTGGGATCCAAAACTCCCTGCAGGGTTTGCAGGAGCTTTGGAGCTGCGGTGTGTGCCTTGGTGAGGTGTGAACACTGCTGGAGCAGGGTGCCTGGGTGGTGCTGGGGCTGCTCTGGGAGCGGGGAGGCTGCAGGGGGGGGTGTTTTGCCCGGGGATTGGGGCAGGGAGCAGAGGCCGGCGGAGGCTCCGCTTGTCCCACAGCAACAGCAGCTGCTGCTGCAGCTGCCGACCCCGCTTCTGAAGTAAACTTTTGTGTACGCTCCCCTTCCTCCCCCGGGGAAAACAGAGAAAGAAATGAAACTTTAATGAGTCTGAACACATCAAAAGGGAAGTTGTAAAGGGGGCTGTTGAGTTGATTTAATCCTTGGGAAAGAAAAAAAAACCAACCCCAAACCAGAAAATAAAAAAAAAAAAAAAAAAAAAAAAAAAAAGAGAGGGGGAAAAAAACACCCTGTGTGTGGAATATCTTTTTTTAGTTGTCTTAGATAGCTAACCACAGGCTGGCCTTGCCAGTGCTCTGCTCCCCAGCTGAGGGCTCGTGCCAGGGCTGTTTCCAGCCAAAAAGTGGTCTTGGTGCTGCCTGGGCTGGCAGTGCCCATTTAGGTCCAGCCTGGCAGTGGCTGTCTGTAGGGTGGGGTTTGGCAGACCTCACAACCAGGAGCTGCCAGGGCACAGGACAGGCTGAAAATGTGCCCTGCTGCTTGTCTGCAAGCTCTTAATTTTGGGGGTCCTGGGGCAGCTCTGCTAGTGCCGTGTGTTGCCAAGCATGGATATTCCTACAGTCACTCCTGGCGCAGGTCATCCCTCCCACGTCCCCATCTCACTCTGTCTCGCTCTGGCACCAGCCCTTTCCTGATATCTTTCGCGTTTTTCAGGCCACTCTTGTGTCTTCTCTCAGTCCTCTCCTCAAGACAAAGCATTATTATTTTGAGCTTCCATCCAAGGCTGTGTTTGCTGGAGTTGTGAACACGTTTGTCAGTCCTCAGGCTTCCCCTGGTTTCACCCACGTCGCCACAGGGACGTGCCCACATCTTCTGGAGGGGACATCCTGGTGCTGCCCACTCACCTTGAGTGTGAGGTTTCACTTCCACCATCAGATTCTTCTCTGAAGAATTTCCTAATTCTTGGGGTTATTTTGCTTATGTGGTTATTCTCAATCTCAGCACGATTCCAGAATCCTTGATGCGTTGCCTCCTGCAATGGTTCCACCTCTTTCTTCAGTTCCTCAATACCATTTGGTGTTTAAGCCTTTCTCTCCAAAGAGTTTGTTTTATTTTTGAAGTCTGATAATGTGTATCATGGATATTAGAAAGAAACTCTTCCCCTTGAGGGTGCTGAGGCCCTGGCACAGGTTGCCCAGAGCAGCTGTGGCTGCCCCATCCCTGGGAGTGTCCAAGGCCAGGCTGGACAGGGCTTGGAGCAACCTGGGCTGGTGGAAGGTGTCCCTGCCCATGGCAGGGGGTAGAACTGGGTGATCTTTAAGGTCCCTTCCATCCCAAACCATTCTATGCTTCTCAAATCTGACCCATTCTCTGTGACCTCTCGAAGATACTTATTGCTGGCTCCATCACTCCCAGCTAATCTCAGGTGGATTTCTGCAGCCCCTCTGGTTTGCACCATGCCCTGCTCATCCCAGGTTGCTCCAGGGATGCTCTGGGATTGTGCTGCTTACCCAAAGCCTTAGCTTCCTTGGAGTTCTTTCCTCTCCCGTTGCTCTGTCTGTCTGTCCTGCACCATGTCCCATCTGCCTGGAACCATCTCTCTTTGCTGACAGGACATCAAGCAATCCTGAAGGACTTTTTCCTCAGACTGATGCCTGTTTGGGATATTTTACCTTCACTAGTGTGATGTGAGTGGAATGAAGAGCTCATTTCACAGCAGCATCCCAGGGGGACAGGCAGTGACACTGCCAGATTTGTTTTGGTCAGGACAGCATCTCTCCACATGCTGCTCTCCCTCCCAAAGCATCCCTGCCCTCAGTGTTTTCCCACTTGTGTCATGATGTGAGAGTTGCAGGTGGAGAGGGCAGCGTTGGACTGCCAGGGACAGTGCAGACTGCAGTTGCTTTCCTATCTCCAGGGTTAGACAACTCCCTCTTGCAGCTTGCCCTGCGTTGGAGAAGTGTCAAGTGTTTTTTTCACAAGAGATGACTGTATTTCATCTGCCTAAAGAGAGCAGCCTTAAAAGGCCTTACAACTCCATTTACCTCTCTAGTTTAATTGCTTTAATTCACCCCAGTCTCCATCCCAGGTGATGGATGAGCAGGTACCTCTCTGGTCCCACCTGAGCTGCTGTTTTCACTCCCACCCTGTGGCTGCTGCCCCATGGCCTGAGCATCACTTCCCCCCTTTGCTTCCTTAACTTTCCATTTTCCCTATTCAAACCAACAAAAAATACACATAAACCCAGCAGATCCTCTCTGTGTCACATATGGACCATCCAAATTCCTTTACTCTGCTGAAAAAAAATCCCAGCACTGATGTTTTCTGTAGACTGGAGATGCTGAGCCCAGCAGTCGCCTCTCTTCCTCACTTTGCTTTCCCCCCACCTCAGAGGTGTGACAGAGCATCCTGCCCTTAGAGAGGGATGCCCTTGGTAATCCAGTCCTGATGTTGCCAATTCTGACAGCCGCTTCCATGGGAAATTCCTAGAGGGAGGCAGCAGGGGGGAGAAGCCACCAGAGCCCCAGGAGCTGGCGAGCAGGCAAGCACTGCCTGCAAAATGATACCCAGCCCATCATCCCGGAGCCCAGGGCTCTGATTCCTGGGCTGAGCCATCGCCAGCCAGCGGATTGTGCTGTGGAGTGTGCGGGAATTGCTTCCTGCTCCAGAGGAGGGGTCTTGTTCTCCGAAAGGTGCTGCCGTTTACGCAGCCGCTGCTGCTCTTTTCATCTCCCGCCTGGGCGCTTGGAAACCAGCTCTCCCTGCCCGCACCCTGCCTCGAGGTTTTGTGCCTCCAAAGCTGAAAATTAGATTTTTGAAACGTCTTGTTTTTACTGGAGCTCTAAAATGTCAAAAGCTGGGGGTGAGGCAGAAGGGAAAGAGCTGTATTTTAAGGAATGCTTTCCCCAGAAAGCAGCTGTCTCAAAATGCCTCTGCTAAGAGCCACCTTAAACTCAAGGGTCCTTTCTAGGTTAGCACAAATCACAGTGCAGTTGTGAGGAAAACGGTGGGGGAAGAGGTGCAGCATCTCTTGGTGTGGTGTCCCGGGAGGCAGAGATGCTGCCGGTGGCCACCTGCCTGCCAGGGTGTTTAGGCAGTGCAGGAGATGAGCTGTTTCCTCTCCGTGATCATTTCTGGCTCATTGCTGCTGAAAAGGGTTTTGTTTTGTATGGTGACATGTCTGAGAATTGCCCAAAGCTTGAAGGGCTCCAGTGTGGTGATAAAAGCTGCTTGCAGTCAGATGGGAGCAGAGGAGGGAGTAGTGGAGGAGTTTCCCTCCCAGCAGGCAGGCTGGCATCCTCTGCCCATGGGTCTCCCGGTCACCCACCTGGGATGTGGGTGGTGGTGACGCTCCACCCCAGGGGTAACAGGACATACCTGTGCTAGACCCCATCACCAGAGGATCCCCACTGGCTTTCTGGGACCAGAGATGAGCCTCACAGCCCCTGTGTGAGCCCTGCAGTTGTTTTACACTTGGGCAAAGTGAGGCACAGAGATTTACACCATAAGTCAGTGGCAGAGCCGGGTGCAAGGTCCCAGTGTGGTGTGGGGTGCAGTTGGGTGCTGGATGCAAAGCTGCCCCATCTCAACACAGTTTGAGTTTAAGGATTATTAAACAGGATAAAGTAAGGGTATTTGCCAGTTTTGGAGCATCAGAGCTGTGGGTACCTCTCGTGTTGTAAATGGGAAGGAGATGCTTCAGGTGAGCTGTGTCTACCCAGAGTCACCCTGTGATAAACCCAAAGGGAAAGTGGGCTTTGCTGGTTTGCCATGGGTGCTCGTAGGAGGCTGTGAAGCCCTCTTTGCACAGTTGGGTGTGCCAGGATGAGACCCAGGCTCGTCCCTTCCCACTGATGCCAGTACCAGTGCTGATGCTGGGGGACCGTTGAGCTCACACAGCAGAGCACCCCTTCATAAAGCAGCAGCATCTACGTGGGATTTTATGCACCTGTACAGGTTTTATTTCCTGCTTTATTCAATGATTTAATGTTTTTGGCATGTGGCTCCTTCCCCAGGCTGACAGGGATGTAAGCAGGATCTCGAGGTGGCTCTTGGATCTCGCATTAAGCCACATTAGTATGTGCTGTAGATTCTGTTTCCTGTGAATTTGC